TTGTGCGCTTTGTGACCCTGGTCTTTGAAATGTGCTATACAAATAAACTTTACTTACTTACTTACTTACTTACATTTTTACATTTTTACTTCCTCAAACACAGACTTTATTTGCAAGTCACTGAGCTGGCCCGGGATTCCCTTGAGATCCCCACTAATAAGCTGGAGGAAGTGTGTCCCTAGTGGAAGTCTGGGTCTCTCTGCCATAGACGGTGTAGGAGGAGTCTGTATACAGTCTGTGGGCTATACTGCAATGGGTAACTGATGTATGCTGATGTTAATCTTGAGTCAGATTCACTCTATAACACTTTAACTGTATACTTTGTGGTGAGACAGACGGATGGATCAAAATGAAGTGTAAAATGTTGACAACATGTAAGGGCCCCTGGAGCGCTCCTCGTTAGCTGCAGTAGGATGGGTACATTGTCGCCCTGGAGATTGCTGAGATGTGATTTTGTTATAAGACAAAAAGGCTCCATATTGTGCTTTGATCATCTTGGATTTTGTTCCTCGCTGACAGCTGAATAAGTAACATCTCAAAATGTGCTGAACCTGCTCCAGCTCGACCGTTTGAGTTCCTTCACAGTGATTCGCTCGTAACCTTTAAAAGACGGCGTAAAGACTACAAGTGTACACATCATGTTTGGAGGGATTGTCCTAGTTAAAGTACAAGTTTTTCTTCATGAATCATCCACAAAAAAATCTTGCTGTACACCTTTTTAGCGTAATATAGAGTGAAATAGCAGTGGGGTGTTGTCATAGTAATGCAATTGTGTGATGTAATGGAATGACAAATGGTAACAGTGTGAAATATGAAAGGTAAGTAATATTAAATCATATTACACTAAGTACTTTCACCTCTTCCTGAAATCAGTCAAAGCACAGTGCTTTACAAGTGTCAGAGTTCAGATATTCATCAAAACCCCAACCAACACCATCCATTCACTCACTCGTTACATACTTACCCGTTTCCCCTACCTCTATGTTTTTAGTGCTATAGGGGAAACTGAAGCACCTGGAGGGAACCTATGCAATCACAGGGAGAACATGCAAACTCCACACAGAAAGGCCTGGAGGTGTAATCGAACCCACGGCTTTCTTGCTGTGAAACGCAAGCTCAGGTAATAATAATAATTAATAATGATAAAAATAATGGTAATATTTTATCAGTGGGTTGACAAAAAACAGTAAAATCCAAAGCTATATTTGATGGAGTTAAATAGAATAGTCATTTAATTATCTTTAAATTAATACTCTTCAAACTACAATATGCATGTGGCTTTATCAACCAAGATCTTTTTACAGTTTTTCTTTGGGTTAGAAAAAAACTTCAGCAATTTGACAACTTGCTCGTTTCAGCTCTCAACATTATTGTCCATAAAGTTGAAATACAAACATTAGAGATGCATGGTGCGCTTATTTCCCATAAACAATTATTATAATGCTTTCTTGTTTTGTTCAGCACTTTGAATTGCCTTGTGTATGAATTGTGCTATATAAATAAACTTGCCTTGCCTTGCCCTTGCCATAAAAGACTCAAAACTTTAGGGAATATCAGCTGTCTGGTGAATAATGACTATAATATCTAAATAACTATTTGACCAATTAATTGTGCTTTTTTTTCTGAAACATCGTACTGTGGGTAGGAGTCTCCAAATGGCTCGTTTGCCACTGCCCTGTCTTCAAACTGTTTTTCAAAACTGTTTTTCAAAGCTCCGTTCAAAACGCAGCTCCATAGTTTTTGCAGTAAAGAAAGATAGCACTGCCATTGAGTGTGTAATCTGTATTTATATAGCACGTTTGAAACAACAGCAAAGGTCCAAAAATACAGAGCATCATAAAGTGCTTGACCTCATTCATTTAAATATAGTAAACAAAAACATGAGACCAAAAAGTTACCAATGGCACTGATTGAAAGAGTTTTTTTTTTAATAAATAAAATCCTCTCATCTTCTCTTTGGCCACTAAATGCAGACAGTCTGATTCAAGATTAACCCCAATCCACCGACATCAATAAAAGGGCACACGACACGGTGTTTTTAAAGCAGCAATGATATTTGACTTGCATGATAGATGAGGTCAGATCTTTTTGTATCACGTGCAGTTTAATATATTAAACCTGGCGAGCACCTCCTGTGTGCAGGCAACTGCTCCCATCTCTGTGTGGATAGAGAGGAGAAATGCCCACAACAACTTGCACTTTGTGGCTCTAGTCTAAGAAAGATGCTATGTAGATTAAGTTGAATAAAACTGCTTATTTACCCACTGTAAGACATTCCACAAGACATTCCACATGCACATATGTGAACACACGCATGTCGACGGAGGGAATGTTTCTACACAAACTTAAGATCAGGAGAAGTGTGGTGCGTTCAAATGCGTTCAAATGCATGGTACATTTGGTTCAGTGTTTGACAAACACCGTCTCTCCATCGGAGATGTCGAGGTGTGGTTTCACAGCGGCGCTTTCATGTATTTATTTGTGCAGCGAGGGCAAATAAACGTATGAACGCGGTTTTCTGCAAGTACGAAAAGCATACTACAAAGGAGTTTTCCTTTGTGTATTGTTCTGTTTTTATATGTTGCTTTGTTTGTGTGCTTGATAGCTGTGTTTAAAGCTATTTAAGATAATCAATGTACATGAGTGAGTGTGTAATCTGTATTTACACACTGGATTTACAGTTCACATTTATGAAACTCGTAGGCTTGAGGTAATCTGTTGTGAGGGAAAATATGGTCTGAGCGGTATTTCTTTGTCTTTGTACTAGTGAGTCTTACTTTAGGACACAAATGTGAAACTTCTAATAGCAAATACGACATGACATTCTTCAGTGTTCCTCTTGCTGTTTGTTTCTGCCCAATCAGCAGAACAGACTACAACAGGTTAGAAAGATGTGGCTCTTACCCACTGTGTCACTAATAATATTCTAGCAGTAGTCACATAGAGCAATGCCCCCCTCAGGTAATATAATTTGATGGTGGCAGTTTCTGTGTGATTGCCCTAATGCTCCCCTTGTGTGCAGAGAAAAAAGCAGATATAATTCTCAAAATGAGATGAAGCTTTACATATACTAAAATTCAAAGTTAGCTTGGGCATCCTGGAACAAAAATACAATAGCAATGTGTCAAAAAAATCGAACAATTGTGTGCTTATGTGATGAATATAAAAGGTAAAAAGGCCAGAGCAATACTCACAAAACCTGTAGCAGTCCCTTTGGCAAGTATCACAGCGTGTAAACGTTGGGGCCAACTAAAACTTAGTGCAAATTCATTTGCAGCCCTAGTTCTGCACCCTTTCTTCTTCAAATGCTCATTAGGCTCAAAATGTTCTGTTAACCTCATCCTTTTCTATAGGGCTAATTTCTACAATGTACCAGGATTGTCAACATTTTAGTTTGCTGACATTCATAGACTTTTGCTGTGGTAATTCTTTACTATAATCTTTAAAGGTAAAATATATGTTTTTAACTGAGTTTTGGAGATAATGATATTGTATCCATATATAGGCCTATTTGACCTTATTATGCTCTCAAGCTGAAGCTGTCTGACCTCAGTGTCTGATCTCTCGGTGGTCATCACTGCAGCCCCCTCCCATGGGACCGTCCTGTCACAGCTCTGATAATCTCATCCTGCACTGCTGCAGGGCATCCGCTGGTATGGTCGTACTGCACAGAAAGAGTTAAATAAGTGAGCGTTGGCCTCAATATGTCACAATGTGCCGCTGACAGTATCGATGACACATAAGTCCAGTGCTCTGAAACACACTTTGGCTGCATGGTGCTTGTGTTGCCACCCGTTGGATGAGTTAGGATGGTTGGAAGTCATCTCCAGCTCCCACTACTCTGTGTGTGTCTAAATGTAGCAGCAGAGAAAAGCATGACAGCCCACTGGCAGCACACAAACAATAGAGAGCCTGCCAACCCAGTCCAGTGCATGTATGTCCTAATTTACAGATCACCTGTAGAATGCTAAACATGCACAGCAGGGATCTCTATAACAATGCAGTTGAAATGTTCTTTTTATTATTAATATTAATATGTGTGACCGTAAATTAGGAGCTGTGATCAATCAAATATTAATATGAAATATTATTCTATAAAGAATTTTCGATCATTGGAAAGCCACCAAAGTAACTTCATGTTGGGGTTTGTTTCTGTTGTTGGATAGCCCTATTAGTGGGTTTTCCTGTAAGTATTGGTCCATTGTTTATGAAAAAGCGCTCTTCCTTTGACAACAAAAGAAGTAGACCGTGCGCTGCGTAATGACTGCGCTTAAATTGAGCCTCATCAACGCGGTTAATCTGACACATGTTTCTGGTGAAGCGCAGCGCGGGTTGGAGCCTATTGTGTGCGTGTGCGCGTCCGTGCGCACCTCGGAGCATTGTGCCGAGATCAAAGCCAGATGGGAGTCACGCTGGGAATAGACAGGGGGAAATGAGGGAGCCGCGTTCGCACGCACACCCAGGGATGGAGCCGGGCGTGAGGACACGGCAGTGGGATTAAGGGGAACACTTGGAGGGAAAGTGACTGCTAAATTGTTTGTCTCTCTGCGCTCACTCTGGATTTCTCCTCAGCGCACCGCTAATGTGTGTGACCAGTGACTCCTCCACCAAAGAGCTGCCCCTCCACGCAGCACAGCTCTGGATGCGTCGAACAGTTGACTCAGTGCGTGCAAAGACAGGGACAACTCTGCGCTCAATATCTTCCAAATCTAAACAGACCACAGTTTGGGATTTTGGAACGGAGGGAGTGAGAGTGTTCTAAACGCTGGCACAAGGCGCAGACGGACGGAGATCAGAGATGCCAGAAGAGAAAACTGTTGACGAGGACGAAGACTTTAAGCATTAGATCTTCTGCTTTTACCCTCGTTTTGATTATTTCCAATTAGTAGAAAAAAGAGGAAAAAGAGGAAAACCCGAGATCAAGTTGCCTGAGACCAGACGCGCTTGTCATCACCTCATCGCGCTCCATGTGCTCTCCTGGACTGAGCTAAGGGTCAGTGATGCCGGACGCACTGACCCTCATTAAGAACCGCACGGAGCCTCGGCTGGGACAGCTGGAGCGCACCCTGAGCGCGGAGGGGGTTGAACGCCCCGCCTGGGTGATTGGCATCCTGGCCTCTGTGCTCATCTTCACCACTGTGGTGGATGTGCTGGGCAACCTGCTCGTCATCATCTCTGTCTTCAGGAACCGCAAGCTCCGGAACTCCGGTAAGACGCGCTGTGTTCGCTGGATGATGAAAGGCTGCGAAAGTGCGCTCGAACTTGTTTCACAAACACATTCGGCTCCAGCACTTTGAGTACAGCATGTCAGAGTTTTTACAGTTGAAGATCAGAATATTCACACGTGTAAAGTCCTGTGAGGAAAACAGAAGCATTCGCGTTTTATTTGATACGAAACGTTTATCAAAAGACAGTTTTCATTTCTGACTTCTGAAGAAGTTAGGTCCATTATGATTTTGAAACTGCTTCTCCCAATAGAGGGGGGAAATATTAATGGTAACCATTTGTCTGACATACCAGACAAGTGAATGACATCATGATTTATAGCATGTATCACAATCAAGAACACTTGTTGCTACAACTTATTCAGTGATTTCATCCGAAATTAAACACACAAAATAAAAGCTATTGTAGCATTTGACATGAGGCATTGTGGTTCAATAGCTGGTTGTGTTATGGGCACATTTACCTTATCTGAAATAGGATTTTTTGTTGATGTGAAATACCCAGACGGCCTCCTGCTGGTCCAATTTTGCCTAAAACAGGTTATAAAGGAAAGCTTTTATGGAATCCTCAGTGTATAACATTATTTAGAACGGATAGATGGGAAAAATGTACAAGTTTGTCTGGGATCCGTTTTAGTATGATTTCGGATATTCACTTCTTGAATAGTATATATAATAAGCTATGTCCTCAGAACACTAATTAAAATAAACATTAAATGAAAGGTCTCATCACAGTGAAGATCCGCTGCAGGAGGAAGTATGAATTGGGAAGCCCATGACCCGGCAACGAGTAAAGCAAAAGAAAAATAGATGAATGGAAGTAAAATGAAGAATTTCTTATAAGTGCAGTTCAAGACAATGAACAGTTTTGAGCCCTGCAGATAAAGAAACTAGGAGCAGATTCCTACTTGGAGCTACTACCCGTCGGCAGTCCTGCAGGAAGAGAGCTTTCTCTCACGCAAGTGACACCCTGACTTTCAGAAAACCCTACATTGTTGGCTTTGCCCCATTTCATGGGAAGTTGCTGTGTTGGTGTTTCTTGATCTACTGCTGACCAGATGTTTTTCACTTTCCACTTCAGTCAGAGCAGCATTTAACATTTGCATTTTTAGTAAATCAGCAACTATTTGCATTGCTTCTGCTTTCATAAACTATAACGTGTTTCTTCCCAAAACAGCAGGTTCATTTGAATTAGAAAGTTTGCAGTTAATGGGGATACATTTTCAACATACAGCATTTTCAACTTAAACAAATGACATTGTATGCTTACGGGTGAGGAATACAGTTTGTAAAATTTGCTTGAAATTGCTAGTTTGAAATATATTTAGATTTCAATCTGGAGAGACCCATACATTATGACCCATACATTAGGTTAGAATTGTATTTTTTGGTTGCCATAGTAATCTGCCACTGCATAAATTAGCACATATAGACTATGCCGACTTTGTATGTAAGAATGATATTCATTGCGTGCTGTACATTAAATGTTTACATTTGACATCCTGGCAGAGCACGGCATGATGACTGCAGAAGGGGAAATTAAAATAGAGTTTATGTGAAATCACGGGGCCTAAACCCTGGTGGAGAAGGGTGAAGGGTTAAGGAGCTGGTTTGGCGGATGAGGCTGTGATGGGGAGGAGCGGGGCTGCTACACAATACAAAAACTTTGAAGGGCAATGTTTAAATGCATGATTGTGTGATTGACTGATTGTACTTGACATCAGACATACAATATCACTTACTTTCTGATGAAGTCCCCTCAGTTCACAGCAGAGTGTGTTTTGTGAGTGGAGCCAGAGCAGCGCACAGCAGGCTGATTTTGTGCTGGACTTGAGGCAACATGAAAATGTCGGAGCATGTAAAACCACTATTAAGTTTGAAGAAGTTAACATGTATCTATTTCAACATATTGGAAAAACAAACGAACATGTGGGCCGAATGCAATTTTTGGCCCACTCATGGACATCAAAGTTTACTGAGTCTGGGCTAATATGGCAACCGCACCATTTATATGACCATAAACACGGAACCCTGGACACATTAAGTAATCATTCAAAGTAAAAGAGTAAACGCACTGGAGTAAATACATCACTCCAGATTTGTTCCAAGCAGCTGCACTAATTTTGTCCATCCAAATCTAGATTCATACTCAATAAATACCTTCAATAATACTAAGTCACAGATGCAAATGATAAGCTAAAAACAAACTTTCCACAAACCCTTCATCCATTAGTTTTCCTTTATTTTCCTCTTCACAAACCTCTACTTTCTCTACTTTTGTTGTTAAACATTAAGAAGATTTGACAGTTTGAAAGGTGGCTGAATATTTAGCAATGAAGTAGTTTAACTGTGTGTGCTGAGGTGTAATTCTGCGAGTGCATGTCCATAGATCTGTTTGCTCCAATTTTCGTATATTTTGCACGTACTAAACATACTCTTGAATACCCAGCCTCGACCTCATGCAGCCTCCAGCTTAATTGAGTTTGACACCCCTAATGTACACCGTTCACCGGAGGATAAAAAAAACTTTCATTTCCATAATTCAACAACAAATCTTTACTCAAAATTGTGCTTCTGTTTTCTCGATCATTTTCTTAAACCATAAGAAATATCAACATACAATTCTTTCAGATAACTTCCAGAGGAGAGTGTTCACAGAAGAGATTTCTCACCACATGTGGCTGATTATAAAACCCTTTTTAAACTGAGTGAGAAAATTTGTAGTTGATCTCTATACATAGTACACATAAGTAATAATACACAACATTATTATTGCTCCGGAACAGCGATCGAATCAGTGCATCAAGCTGCTACCGTTGTGTTTTTCTTGCTCTAATTGGAATGGAATGTTATGCTATACTTCTTACTATACACATCATGTGGTTAACTTTCCTACTTTTTCAATTTGTTTTATATATTTTTAATTGTTTTTATTTGTCAATGAGACTTTTCACACAAAGCAATATGTTTCAATGTAAATATGCCAATTTCCATCTTCGTCCCATGTTACAGCACGGCAAACAAATAAAGCAACAATTATTGTGACTTAAAGGTAGACGTTAGTGCTAGCCGCAGGGAAGTGCAGTGGAAAAGGCTTACATAAAGGACATAAGTGCAGCTCACAGCACCGGACATGACAAAGATGAAATAACATGACAAGAACACAACAAGAACACAAACATCCTCAAATTACACACATACACACACGCACACACACACACACCCACACACACACACTGTCATTAGACCACCTGGTTTAGTTCCGTGTCTGTGACTCCGTGGTGAGTCAATGAAACGACATGAATGTAACAATAAGGTAATTACTAATATACACAGTGTGTGGTGTCACTCAGTTACTAAAACTTAATCACAGTAATTTGATTACTCTTGATTTGATTACTTTTAGAGTAACATTATCCAATCACTTTATTTATATAGCACATTATATAAAACAAGTTTCCAAAGTGCTGCACAGAGATTAAATCAACACATTTACTGTAAATATGGACAAAGTAAAAAGGCGGCACGGTGGCTGAGTGGATAGCACTCTCGCCTCTCAGCAAGAAGGTCCTGGGTTCGAATCCCGGTCGGAACAGGGCCTTTCTGAGTGGAGTTTGCATGTTCTCCCTGTGTCTGTGTAGGTTTCCTCCGGGTACTCCGGTTTCCCCTACCACTAAAAATATGTACAATAGGACTGTGCATGCGCCTCCTGTACTGACGACCCCGCTCCCATCTCTGTGTGGAGTGAGAGGACAAATGCCCAAAATAATAATAACAATTGTAAACCGCTTTGTGACCCTTGTCTGTGAAAGGCGGTATATAAATAATAAACAAAAACAATACAAATGTAATAAAAACAATACAATACCAGTTAACTATAAACATGTGATAAAAACGATAAAATACTAGTTGTCTAATTTAAAAATGAAAACAGTGAAACAGATAAAACAAAACAAATAAAAAGAGGACCACACAACTCACGCGGTGTTTATATATCAAACTGGTTATTTAAATATAACCAGTTACTTTGCAGAGCTAATACGAGCACAAACACAGATCAGCAGCAGGATCAGGATCGATGGAGATGTTTATATTATGGACGTTAAGTCTTTTGGCCCAGTCTGTATTAAAATGTATTAACTGTTTGTATTTATATACATAAACAGTCATCCCAAAGTACTGTTGCTTTTTTGAGACAGTAAGTAGTGTAACAGTTTTAAAACCATTAGTTTTCAAAGTAACTCACGGACCACTGTACGCTATGACCACACCTAAGGCTTAAGCAAATGTTTGTACAGCTTTACAAAAGGATTCAAAACTTTTACAGTGGAGTAGAAAGTGCAGATACCCACTCACAAATGTTGTGAAGTCACAATAATAAGTATTGTCTGTAAAATGTTATAATAATATCTGTATTAAAGTTAGATACGTAAATGACATTTAACCATTGCCTACACTTTGTGCCCTTTTGCGCTAAAAACAAGCTAAACTGAACTAAACTAAACAAAACAAATAAGTCATCACAACTTTTCACAAAACACATCCGGGTACACAAGCCTTTTCTATTATGTCTTTGTATAATTATGATATTAAAGCTGCAGCTCAGACGTGTGCTCACTTCTGTACAGTATAGGGCAGAGTTCAGAGGGAGCTGGATAATAAAAGCAGAGGTGAGGGGGCTTCAGAGAGAGATAATAATCTGCCTCAACATTTGCATCACGTGTCCTCTCTTTCTTTCTCTGTTGTGCGCTAAACAATCACAAAAAGGACTCAAATAATTCAGCTGAGGAAAAGCACTCTTCAATATGTGCTGCTTCATTCTCAAAAACAGATTTTCACATGCAACAAAAGGGTTTAGGTAGAAAGGCAGAATCACAAATTGAAGAAGTATACAAAAAAAGTACTTTTAACAGTGTGATTGATGATTAAATGAAAAAAAAAATATAACACTTATAATCCACATTAATGAATCAGCTACACTGAGTATTTGTACAAAAGAAACCATTGAAATGTGTTTTTCAGTCAAAATAATAGTGTATCTGTATGAAAGGTTTTAGAATAAAACTAGATCC